GATTTTTTCTTTAAAAAAATTATCTAATAAATAAAATTTTAAAAATAAATAAAATGACAAAAAAGCTAAATGAAATGGCACATGAATTTCTTAAATTAAGGTGTTAAATAATATTTTATTAATAATATATAAATAAATATTAAGTAAATAATAAAATATAAATTCTTATAAATACAAGGCTGAGGCATAATATTCAAAATTTTACCTTTTATTGCACTTGATTTAAAAAAAAATCAATTATTTTAAATTAAAAAAGAGCACATTAATTAGATCGAGAAAATAAAAACTCATTGGATATGGGTAATTTTATCATCTTTATCTCAATTGATTTTTTTATTACAAAATTTATCTAATAAAAAAATTAAAATTAAAAATTAAAAAAAAAACTCAAAAGAAAAAGCAAAAGCTTGAAAATAAAAGTTAAAGAAGAAAAAAAAAAGTGTTACGTGGATACCTAAAACGGGATAAAATATTTTAAATCTATCTCTAACCTTACCTTATATAATAAGAACCTTAATTCGATCTTTATTTAAAATAAATATTTATATTGAATCTGAATAAATTAAAATGAATTAAATATAGATTATTACATCTTATCTACCTCTATTATTTTTTTTTATAAAATTTAGTTAATAAAATAATTAAAAATAAATTTAATAAATAATAAAATAAATAATAAAAAATATCACGTGAACACTCCCACCTCTTTTAATAAATACTATAAGTGTCAAATCCACATAAATTTTCATATTTTGCACGTTAACATTTATTTAAAAAAGATAATGGCCAAGTAGATACTGACATGACAAAGATAAAAGTTTCTAATAGATTTTGTCCAATATAATGGCTTTACTTACATAAAACTAGTATTTTAAAGGTTCAAATGGTAGGATAGAAAAGAACGAAAGTTTATTGGAAAAATATGAAACAGTAAAGGATTTGTTTTAGTGTTTTAACCTTTATGCTTTTATATATATTCTACAATAGTCGTGTATTATATTCGAGAAACAAATATTATAATATTAATTATTTCAATTTCGTCATCTTAAAAAACAACATCATCTACGAAAGTGTATGAAAACGTAAATTGATTATGAATTCAATGACCATTACGTGAATTTTTTTTATCAACATAAGAATTTATCTAAATAAAAATTATAAAATAAAATTTATTTGCATACATTAAAAAAATAATTTTTTATATATAAATTTGAGATGATTCAAGATATTTATTCAGCACTTTTTAGTCTCCAACCAGGAATTTATATTTAAAAAATGAACATTCATCATTTTTTTTCTTTACTATCCAAAGAAGAAAAATGTCCCTACAAATATTTTATCTGCCTTTTTCACTATTTAGGAGAGTCTTCTAGTACTTAAAAATTGTTTTCTAAAGCAATATTCAAAAACAGCTAAAAAAAAAAAAAAAGAAAAGACATTCCCTGGCCTATAATGTCCCTTCTTCGATGTAATCATGATTTTTTTTTTCTGCACTTTTTCTCCCGACCCGCCACACCCGGTTAGGAATGTCACAGCCACTAAGATAACGCCACGTATGAGATTCCACATCAATTTCGTCGATACATTAGCGGCGTGATCATAGTGATAATAACTCGCTTTGAACTTACGCGGGGAGGATTGGCTGTACATCAATTGTGTCACCCTTGGGTCCCTTTATCTGTACGTGTACATTTCTTCGTTTTCTTAACCTTTTTGAGTTTTGATTTTGGAGGTCAGTAGAACATGTTAGCTTTAAAGATTTTGTATTTTAATATTTATTTATTCAAATGGACATTAACACCCTTTCCACAATAATTTTTTCTTTCTTTTCACTTTATAATAAATTTGATTTAATTGTTCAATTATATAATACTGTTGTAACGATTTTATATCCATTCAACGAATTTAAAAATAAAATAAAAAATAACAGAATAATCATTAATCTTTTTTTGGTTATGTACGATTGATCACTTACTAAAACATATCATTTTAATAAAGTTTTAAAATTAATTAAAATTTATTAAAAAGATAATTTTAAGGTCTGCGAAATAGTCTGGGTTCGAGAATCGGTTTCGCGTGGAGAAAGATTAGCACTCCCACAATGCCCGTTAAAAATAGTACCAATTAACAACGTGTTATCTTTTGATTTTGATAAAAATAATCTAATTTTCGATGTTCGAAAAAATAATTTTCTTGATTTTTATTTTTTAGAGAAAAAAATTATTCTAGAGAAAAATAAATTAAAACATTTTTCTTGAAATAATTCTTAAAATGTTTCAGTACGTTGGTAACATTAGAAGAACTTTTTTTCACCTAGAGATTTCTTAGGCATCGCTTTTCGGAATACCTTAGAATCTCATCCTCGGAGGCTCAAATTTACTTTTCATAAAAAAATATCATGCATACAATGCAAAATGTTACCATATTTATGCACACATTTTATTCTTCTTTGTTAGAAATTTTATTAATATTTATTTTTAACTGAATTTTTGAAGAAAAAGGAATTTAATTATATTGAAGATTTTCTAGAAATATTTCAATACACTGGTAATATTTTATAAAAAATCTTCTCACCTAGGGATTTCTTAAAGTATCTCTACTCGAAATTCTTTTAGAATCTCATCATTGGATAAAATTTCTTTTCTTCTTATTTTTATTACTTATATTTTTAATTTATTAATCAATTTTTATTTATTACTTTTAAAAAAAAAAAATTTATTGTATTGAAAATTTTTTTATAAATACTCTGATACACTGGTAGTATTTAAAAAAATCTTCTCACCTAAGGATTTCGTAGGCATTACTACTCGGAATACCTTTGAATCTCATCGTCGGATATAATTTTTATTTTCCTACATTTTTTATTAGTTTAGTATTATTATTGAACTTATTTTTATATTATTTTGTTTTTAAAGTTTATTTTAAAAAATTACAAAATTATAAAAAAAAATTTAACCACATATTTCATTATTTAATCTAACAAATATAAATAGTTTAATATGCATAAATATTAATAAAATAATATATAAAAAATAAGAAAAATTTAAAAAAAAATTTTTTTACCTGAACCGAACAGGTCAGCAGTCCGATCAACGTGCAGTTCGGTTTAGCAGTTCAATCTGACGGTTCAGTTCAGTTTGGGCACGGTATGGGTGGCTCAGCGGTTTGGTATCGATTTGGTTCGAGTTCAACGGTTCAGTTCCAATTTAGTCAGATCGGTCAGAGCTTGATAGAGAAGCGGGTCGGGTGCGCGGACCTCGGGTCGGGTCGCGAGTTGATGCGTAAATCCTGGGTGCTTAAAACGACGTCGTTTTGGGGGTTTATTGAAATGACGTCGTTTTGGTTTTTACCGTTTATGTAAAAGGTTCAAATTTTTTTTCAGCCATTCTCCTTCCTTCTCCAGAAAAAAAAAAAACCCTTTCTTCTTTTTTTTTTTCAGCCAAACGCAAGTGCCGGCTGGTTGCCGTCACGGTCGCCATCGTTGGTGACCGAAAAAAAATCAAAATCACCTAAAATGTTCTACTCAACACTCTAAACATAGATCCAACTCTTTTTTTTGTCAAAAAGAGTCTCAAATTTCCCAGATCCAAACTTGAAGTTTCGGTTAAACTAATTTTTTTTTATATTTTGACCCCTTTTTTTTTAAACTAACCTTTTTTTTTTCTTTGTGCAGGAAACTATAGGCGCTAGCTTCCTCGCTACGGGGAGGACTGTATTTTTTTTTTTTTTACAATTTTTTTTCATTTTTTTTGTAGCGTCTCTCCTTCTTTATCTATATTTTTTTGTTGTTCGTCCATGAGCTCTATTTATAGAGCTCTGGCATTACCCTGTACCTAAGGGAATGGCACAGGGGCTAGGCATGGGGGTGCAAGCACAAGTCCCATGCCTATTTTATTTGTTTTTGGCAACATCTGATAGTGATAAAGGATGGGTGGTAAGGCATGGTAGTCAGAGGGATGGAAGGTAGGACATGGTGGTCAAAAGGATGAGGTGTAGGGCTTGGTGGCAATGGTGCCTGCCACCCTCGATTTTTATTTTTTCTGTTCTATTTTTTTATTATTATTTTTATATATTTTTTAGTATTTTGTGTAATTTTTTTATATTTCATATTTTATATTTTTTATATTTCGTATTTTATATTATTTTGGATAAATTTGATGTCCACAAATACAATTGCTACCTTTGTTTAAATCAAAAGATTATTGCATTAATTTGATTTTTTTTATTTTGTCGAAATTTTATATTCTTGTAAACAACGAAAAAGTCCTTTTTCTTTATAATTATGAAAAAAATTTCAAATATTAAATTGTTCATTGTGTTCATAATCATAAGTTATAACATTTTTCAATTACTTGCATAATTTATTACAGTTCTTTTACAAATTAACTTGTTACTACAAAGTAATAAACATAATTATAAGATAGACAATTATTATTTGTATAAGTTAGTATGAGTTTTCTTATAAAAGAATTATAAACATTGAAATTTAAATTTTAAATTAATTAAATGTCATCATTTAAAGTTGATTTCTTAAGATAATTGAGTTAAAATATAAATTTAATTATTTTTTCTCTTGATAAAAGGAAAAAAAAACACAAATAAATTGATAAAAAAATATATATTTAAGTAATTAATTCATTTGTACGTGAGGAAAGTAATCTCATCGCATCTAAAAATGCATATTGTAATTAATTTAGAGCCTTTACTATTGAAATAAATGAACAAAATGTTCCATAAATTTTTCCACCTTCCCTCAATAATTGGCGACATTCTTTGATATGTACATTATAATTGTTATACAAAAAATGGAAGAAGAATCCACAGTTACCTATCCCAAAAGGTGGTCTAAAGAAAGAACCCATTCCCAAAATAAAACAAAAGGAAGGGAAAACCATATACATGATATTATGAATCATGCATTACTACAAACACTGGATAGTTCTATTTATATATATTTTTAAGATTTCAATTAAAATTTAAAATAACTCAATGGTAATATGGTAAATATAGGTAAGATATTAGGGAAAGTTGAGTGAATAATTTAAACCTATTAATTAATATAAACCAGACCATGCAGCTAAAACCTTTGTTTCTGTCTATGTCTTCTGTGCCACCTGTTTTCTTCTTCCACTCTCAGATAACTCTCTCTCTGTCTGAACACTGATCAAAGCTTTAAAAAATTTCTAATCTTTTCCACTTCCTCACGGCCTCATTACACGAGTCAACAACAAGGGAACAAAGAAAGGAAAAAATTTTGATTTTCTTGCACTTTCCTAGGAACCAAACACCAATTTCCTATCCTCTTTCCACGCACTTCAAGAAAAAAGTTTGCCTTTTTTTTTTTTACTCAAACTGCTTCATCACTGAAATCATTCCGAATCCAATATTTTTATTTTTTTGCTTTACATTATATGATTCTTTGTCTGGCTTTGTTGGCTCAATTAGATCAGCAAAATCATGGCCTTTGATTCGACTGACAGGAAAGAGATCATCTTGAAAATTGATGACAGAAGCAATGACGGTAATATTCCGGTTTCTGCCGCTGCTACCACCGCCAGCGATGGAGGTAAGATTTGGAGAGAGTCAAGCTATGATTTTTGGAAAGATAATGAGAAGATCAACAGAAACTGGAAAAAAGAGAATGTGAACATGAATGGTACTGGCAGTAGTGGTAGTACTAGTAATAGAGAAAGTGAAGGTTTTGATTTCATGCAAAACGAACAAGCAGCCATGGAAGATCCAACATCAAAGCTGATTGGTCAGTTTTTGCATAAGCAAAAAGCTTCAGGTGAGATTTCACTGGATATGGATTTGGAGATGGATGAACTTCAACAAAAGCCACCTCATCACGGCAGTTCATTGCCTACAGTTGCTGAATCACCTTCACCTTCAGCAGCTGCTGTTCCCAGCGTGTCTTTTGAAAACAACCCTGTAAGAAGAAGACAAAGTAAAGGGTCACCATCTCCGGCAAAAGATGAGATTAGGGACTCTAGGGAGAGCGATGGGGTTGTGAAGTGTAGTTCAAGTTCTTCTTTGAAAAGAAGTGAAGGTGGTTCTTTTCAAAGGAAATCCAGTTTGTTAGCAACAAAGCCAAAGTCCAGGTTGATGGACCTTCCAACACCGGAAAAGGGGGAGCCAAAGTCAGCGAAAGCTGGGGTAGGGAAGTCAGGACAGATAATGCGATCTGGGTTTCTTGGGAAAAGTATGGAGGAAGAAGAGGATGATCCATTGCTTGAAGAGGATTTGCCTGATGAGTATAAGAAAGATAAGTTAAGTGTTTTGGTTTTGCTTGAATGGTTAAGTTTGATTTTGATTATCGCTGCTTTGGTTTGTAGTCTTACAATTCCTTATTTGAGAGAGAAACGTTTGTGGAATCTTATGTTGTGGAAATGGGAAGTTTTGGTTTTGGTTTTAATATGTGGTAGATTGGTTTCAGGGTGGATTATAAAGATAATTGTGTTCTTCATAGAGAGGAATTTTCTTTTGAGGAAAAGGGTATTGTATTTTGTTTATGGAGTGAGGAAAGCTGTTCAGAATTGTTTGTGGCTGGGGTTGGTTTTGATTGCTTGGCATTACTTGTTTGATAAGAAGGTTCAGAGGGAGACCAAGAGTGAATTCCTAAGGTATGTGACTAAAGTTTTGGTTTGTCTTGTGGTGGGTGTGATGTTGTGGCTAGTGAAGACCCTTTTGGTGAAAGTTCTGGCATCTTCTTTCCATGTGAGTGCTTATTTTGATAGAATCCAGGATTCATTGTTCAATCAATATGTAATTGAGACTCTGTCTGGTCCACCTTTGATTGAAATTCAAAGGGCAGAGGAGGAGGAGGAGAGAATTGCAGATGAAGTTATAAACCTACAGAAAGCTGGTGCTACAATTCCTCCTGGCCTCAAGACATCGACCCTTTCATCACCCCCATTGCGGGAAGCTGACAGGGAGTGGAAGGATCCAGAAAAGTCCTCGAGGAAAAAGCCCAATGGTTTCACGTGTGCTTTCTTCTGAGAAGGGAGAGAAGGATGATAAGGGGATAACCATTGACCATTTGCACAAATTGAATCCTAAAAATGTATCTGCTTGGAATATGAAAAGGTTGATGAATATTATCCGCCATGGAGCTCTTTCCACTTTAGATGAGCAGATACAAGATTCAACTCATGAAGATGAGTCTGCAACACAAATTAGAAGTGAATATGAGGCGAAAGTTGCAGCAAGGAAAATCTTCCAGAATGTTGCTAAGCCAGGATCCAAGTATGTTTGTCAGTCCCGTTTACTATGCAATAAATTATGTGTCTATCTGTGCCTTAAAATATTTTCAGTCAATTTTAAATTTCATTTTACTTCATTAGCTGATTGATTGTTTTTCATCTGAAGCTTTTGTATCCATTGCATCATTTTTGTTACACTGTGGAGTTTAAACGATATAAGGGGTGAATGTCCCTGTAAAATGAGGCTCCTAGTTTAGATAGGAACTTTCAAGGGAAATCCATTATTGGTGTGCTTTTCAAAAGTCAAGTGAAGCATGGAAGCTTATGTCTATTCCAAAACACATTGCAACCGCCCACCCCAATAAAAGAAGTGCTAAAACGAAAGTGAGGACACCACTAGAATGCATGTTTTCCAAATCATTTTGATGACATTAGTACTTCTTCAAACATTTTCATCAAAGCCGTCTTGCATTTCCATTTTACCTTATTTTGCCACTGTGCGGCAAAAATATTTGATTCCCAACTTAATAATGTTAAAATAAAAGGGGAAGGATCATAAACCAATGATTGACCAATCAAACAACGTCAACAAGAGGTTTTTTTCCTTGTTTTATTGCTAAAAATTGCCTTCTCAGGTACATCTATTTGGAGGACATTGAACGATTTCTGCAAGAAGATGAGGCTTTGAAGACTATGAGTCTCTTTGAAGGAGCATCCGAAAGCAGGAGAATTAGCAAGAAGGCCCTCAAGAATTGGGTGGTAAGAATTGGGCAACCCATGCCTTGCAGTATGATTTACTTCTAATATATTCTCTTTTGCATATATATAATCTGTTGAAGGCATATGCCTGATTTTATATTTTAAACAACATGTATAACATCCAATTAGGTACAAAACTTCCCTAGTGGATGCTTTTTGGATTGAAATTAGGTGCCCTTTAAATAGCTAATCAAATGTTAGATTGCGGTCACATTTATCCTTGTAAGTTCCAATGGATAACAACAAAGGTGTTGGAAAACTTAGAATGGTAAAGGTAGCAATATAATATGATATACGGTAATCTAAATTAAGTGATATCTGTATTGAGTTTTAATTTTTCAATGCTGGTATCCTATTGCTGTTTAGAATTTACTGCAATCTCAATAGATTTAACTGATTATTTTTCAGAAATTAGAACTCTCTTTACTGGCTTTATTGCATTTAAATCCGAGGAAAAGAAAACCTTCTATTTTTGAAGCATTTGTTAGTATTTATTATTACAGGCTACAGCAAGGCCCCATCCCGCCTTTTTCTTTCCCCTGCATGAACACAGTCACTAAAATTGAAGTTGCATTTACACGTTTAAAATTTGCTTTCTATGCATGCAAATGTATGATGAACTTCAATCTCTTAGGTCCATGCTTTTAGAGAACGAAGGGCACTTGCCTTGACACTGAATGATACCAAAACAGCTGTGAACAGACTTCATAAGATGGTGAACGTTCTGGTTGGCATCATCATAGTGGTTATTTGGCTCCTCATACTTGGAATTGCCACCAGCAAAGTTCTTGTTTTATTAGCATCTCAAACTGCTTCTAATTGCATTCATATTTGGGAAACACCTGCACAGACGCCGTATTTGAAGCGATTATAGTCTTATTGTTAATGCACCCATTTGATGTGGGTGACAGGTGTGAAATTGATGGAGTTCAGGTACTTAAATAAGCTTATGAAATATGTTTTTTTCCTATTTAATCTGTATGGATCATACAAATTCTGTCTTATATCAAGGTTTTTTTTTTTTTTTTTTTTTAAGAATGCTGGGTTCTCAAAAGTAATATTCAATGAATTTCAGGATGGTAGTGGAGGAAATGAACATCTGACTACTGTTTCCCTTAAGATCATGGACAAACCAGAAGATTCAATAATCCCAAAACAGTGTCCTGGTACTAAGGCCGTCAACAGACTACTATCGTTAGCCCTGATATGGGAGATGCAGTTGATTCTGTATCCATGTCAAAACTCCTGCCAGAAAAGATTGTCTGATTGAAGCAGAGGATATTGAGTGAGTAGAAAAAGATACAGTTGTTTTTCATTTCTTTGCTGTCATTTGCAAGAGTCTTTATTGTTAACTAATGGCATTGTATGGTTGTGTGATCATTGCATAGCACATTGATTGATGTGATATTTTTAAAATGGAATGCTCTTGAAATAATTTTAGTAGTATCTTTGTTTTGTTTACTAAAGTTATTTCTTGGACTGGATATTTTGCTTCTATTGATATTTGTATATTTGATGTATCTAAGATATACAATAGATATAGATTACTTGGAATACCTTGAAATGAAATACATTTGAGAACCTTAATTGATAAAGACCTGGCCTCTGAGTAATCGTCTTGTTTGCAGTATTTTGGTAAGTTTATTTTGATGTTTTTTCTTGTTGTGAATTTTGATACTACATCGTGGTATGCTTGGTCTGGTGATCTATGAAATGTATTAGTGAATCAATACATACACTGAACATGTCTGATTCAATGGATCATTTCTTACTGCAGTTACATCGAGCACAAGAGTGACCACTGGTACCCGGCTCCAATGATTATATTCAAGGAACTTGAAGAGTTGAACAGAGTAAGGATAGCAATATGGCTCACACATAGAATGAATCATCAAGACATGGGAGAGAGGTGGGCAAGAAGGGCGCTCTTGGTTGAAGAGATGGTTAAGATTTTCAACGACTTGGATATTAAATACCGCCTATATCCCATTGACATTAATGTCTGTAGCATGCCTCCCGTGACATCTGACCGCCTTCCTCCTAGTTGGACAGGACCTGCCAGCTGAACAAAGATAACAAGCAAACTATAAAAACCATCTTTATACTCGGGAAGTCCTATTAGGTACAGTGTCAAATTTGGAGTAGATTCTACTGCATTTTGACGTTGTTTCCTTGATGGATAGCCTAGAGTGGGATGATATTTTCATTTAGATTATTAGATATTAAATTACTTCTATAATTAGGATGTTTTGGTAGATTGAACAAGTATGCTGGTGGATGATACTTCCAAATCGTGTTTTCTAAACCTTTTGAATGAAATGGCCGGTGTAAGTTGATTGGAATCCCATTCAGTCCTATTTGGGGTTGCAGAGGCATATTAATAGTGAAACTTTAACTATATCGTGAGTCCATTTTAAGTACAGGAAAATTATTGATTTTCATTCATGCAAACAGAAGTCATGAGGTACCTATTCTTGGGCCAAGACTGAGATGATCCAGAGTGGTACAAACTCTTGTTGTGTCAATCACTTGTTCCTGTTTCTTTCTAGCGTTTTTTTCACACTTAAGAGCACTAAAATTAATGGATTTATTTTGTTCTTTAAAGGTGAGATTTCAATCTGCAAACTTATGGCTTTTGGGGTATGGCTCCCTTTCAGTTGCCCATCATTTACTTTACTGTATTGAAAACCATATCAAATAAAATGATTCTTTATGATACTCCATGACAATAAAGTTGGGTCTCTCAATTTCTTGCCAGCTAATCCAATCAATTTCTCAATCATTACATCCTCTGTCACAAGTCCTTGGTTCCTTATTTTACTAAATACAGGGACCATTTCCCAACTGTTGCCAGGCCTAGCAGCAGTTATATTGAGAAATAGGATATCAGGAAATTTGCATACTGTGGTTAAATGTGTATCAATTCAACGATTAGTACTTTGAATTTTTCAAGAATACTTTCATTGTTGTTCTAAAGAGGGGAAATGAAAGCAAAAGAGATCACATGCAACAAGCGGTCCTCGTCTCCAAATCTTTCTAAGAACCAAGTTTCAAGCCTCGTGACTCTTCTGACTTCTAACACTGCTCCGCCCGATCAGCCGTAAAGATAACTTTTTCCAGGGGTAGCTAATTGGCTTCAACTTTCAAGCCAGGCCATGCAAATCTTGGCAGAGTTGCAGAAAAAGGAAGTTTCCCCGTGAGATTTCTGGAGTAAGATTTCTAGCAATGTCTTTCTTTATCATCAAGCACAATCAAACAACGTCGACCAGGCACTGAAGTGAAAAAGTGGTTAAAGTGTTTTGACACAAACATCTTCTGTGAGTCAAACAAAATTTCCCCAGTGTTCACTTCTTAAAGGGCATAGGCAATCAGTCAAAACATCAAGGACAAACACGACGCTTATGTTCCATGATACAAATATGAACAGATAGTATTCATTTCTTATTCTGTCTTGAGGCAATGCTTTTAGCCTTTTAGCCAAGATCACCAGAAATTTTTGTAGGAAGGTCAATAGACAGACGAATTCATCACTCTTGTCCTTTAGTTAAATAAACTGACAATTGAATTCCAATTACGTCTAGGAGTTGAAATTTGTTTATATCCGAATTGTATACCAATACTTAAATTCCATTCTAATTGGAATTGGATTCACGATCCAAAAAGAAAAAAGCGACCCATAAATACCCTTTATGTTCCAAACACAAAACTAAGCAACCCTCTTTCCTACTTCTTTTTCTTCACCAAATTAAGTGATTTTCTATCCTTAAAAACTTTCCCTGATTGTTTGATAAAAAATTCTTTATATTCTTCCACTGTTTTTCAAGAAAAACATATGGGAAATTTTGAACCGGATTGGGAATATCTTCCACAACTGTCTCTTTAAGGTTCTTGGGAAATTAGATGCCCCAAGCAACTTGGTTCAATTTGGTGCAGTCAGTACGCAATGGCATTCAGTGTTCAACACTTTCCTTGACATAAAAAGGCGGTCATCGCCAAATCTGGTTCCGATGCTGTTGATCCCAACAAAAATGAGCCAGACAAAGCGGAAATTATATAGTCTACAAGCCAAAATAAAAGTCTCCAGTATTGAATTTCCAAAGTCGTACAATAAAAGAAGTTGTGGATCTTGTTATGGTTAGCCAGCCACTGTGGACGAGAACATGGTCATAACCCTTTCAATTCCTTTTAAGGATTGCATTAGCATTGATCTCCCTCAGCTTGAATTTTCCAATAGAAAGCCTATGGGCTACCAATACGACATTCAAAAGGTTGTGTTATCAGCTGACCCTTCATTGAATCAGGATAGTTACGTTGTTGTGATAATTTATAGCACTTTTCGCAGATTAGTCTTGTACAAATCCTGGAATCCCGGCAGAAAACTTGGATATATTTCGACAAGCGTCTAACGCTCCTGACTGATATTGGTTTTCATAGAATTTGGTCTTCTGTCATTTGATGTTAATGGTAATATTGACAAGGGTTTTGAGTCACCAAAGTTGAAGATAGTCGGGCCAGAAATTCCAATATCAGACTTAGAGGCTTATTCTGACCGCGCATATCTAGTTCGATCATCTAAAGGGAATCTATACTCTATTCAAAGGAAGCTCGAATCTGGTGATGAGATCGAGGGAAAAGATGATTATTTGACCGAGAAATTTGAGGTTATCAAGTTGGTTTTGGATGATGAAACAGGTGAATTGTTAGAGAAGAAACAGGTAAAGAGAATGGATGGGGATATGGTGCAAGGACAGCCTAATTCTATATATTTCACTGATGATTATATTGATGTTAATGCATATGAGCCATGTGGTCCTCAAGATATTGGTATTTTCAATTTGAAAGATGGAAGCTTTGGAAAACATTACCAATTCAAACCACCACAGAAGGACCTCCCTCCCTACATTTGGATCCTGCCACCGCTTCAATTTAAGCCAATACCGTAGGTGGTTAAGTATGTCTCTAATTTAACGTAATAATCAAGTTAAACTCATTATTAGCAAGTTTCGTTAGAAGATTTGTCTTTTTAACTTCTACTCATTTGTTATATTTTTTTTAATATCAATTTTTTTTATTTAGTGATTGCTTTAAAATTTCTTTTCGTTATTTGATGTTTGCATTTTTTTTTTCTCATTTTGCATAGAATTCAAATATCATAATTCCAATTCTACATACATAATTAAAAAGATTTAGAGAAAAAAAAAACAAAAAAAATATAATTAATACTTAAACAATAAATAAGAATTCAGAGAAAGTAAATACTATTATAACTAATAGCTAATTAAATAGCAAAGTAACGTCCCAATCCTAAATAAAGGCAGTCATATGCTTTATAAATAATAATATATTAATTCTAGATATTATTTATATATAAAAGTGTGAACTCTAAAAGTATTAAAAATGATTTAAATATCCTTATAAATTTTTAATAAATTTATCTTTAAATATATAACTTTTATTAATTAATTTAAGTTTAATTTAAATCAACTAAAATTAAAAATAAAATTTATGTGAAATTAAATTACTTAAAATTTTAAAATTTTAATTAAAAATGTTAAAAATGATTGACTAAATATCTTTAGTAAATTTTTTTATAAATTTTAATTTAAATAAAAATTTTTTATTAGTAGACTTTTTATAATTAAACTAAAAAAGAATTAAAAGTGATTGATTAAAATACCATTAGTTTTTCATATAAATTTTAATTTAAAAATTTTATTATTATTAGACTCCTTTTTATAATTAGAATGATTTTTCACATCTAATAAAAACACAAATAGAGTGAGATCAAAACTTAATATGTATATGAATAGGACAATTGTATTGCAAAAACAATTATATATGTAATTTATATAGATAAATAAATTTATTAAAAACAATCTTAATTAAGTCATTGACACATTTTTTTTTCTATTTTTTGCCTTTTAATTTTTTGTTTTAATAGATTTGTTAATTATATATATTAATGATTTTATTATTTATCTGTTTTATGAATTAATCATTTAATTTGATTATTGATAGTTTAATTAAATTTTTTTAGTCTCTTAAAATAATTTTTTAACATATTATTTTTACAATTGTCTAACTTTTACAATTAATATTTCTTTTGTATTTTTTTCTTATAAAATCTTATAAATGTTATTCCCATAAACAAATACTAATATCAAATCAAATATTGTAAATTAATTACATCCCCTTCATCAACAATTAGCACTATATTATTTATGGAACATTTTAATTGGATTTTTTACCTGTAAAATTAAATGATTCAGGAAGCAATAAAGTTATCAATAGTTCAAGATTAGGTCCCATCAAATTACCATAAGAATTATTCACCTTGATTGAAATAATAATTGATTTAATTTTCTTTTAACTATTATCTTATTATGCATATATATGATTAATTTATATTTCAAGATTATTTAATCTTTCTCAATTATATTAAAATTTTCTTTTGGTCATCTAAGTGATTGAACTTCCTCGCATGAATTATTCTAAGTAGAGAATTATTATGTAAAGTAAAATTAATATATTGTTTCTAGTTAATTATTTTAAGGTGTAACAAGTTTCATTGTAATTATCTTTTGAATATGTTTATATCAAAATTACATTTATTCATGAAAATTTATGTTATTATTGCTGAAAATGAAATTATTATAAATTATATAGGTATTACACAACAAGTTTGTTATTTTGATAATTGAAATTTTCTTAAGAAAACATGTTGAGTACCAAGGTTAAAAATTTATTTTATTTCATTTTAAGTTTTAAAATTATGTATTTTAATATTTTTATATAACAAGAATTTTCAAATAAAAGAAAAATGAAGCTTTCAATAGATAAAACATATAATTACATTCAAATTGATGGAAGCATCAATGAAAAATTATCTTAAGCAGAAAATTGAGATAAAAAAATTGATTAATTATATATAACTCTATATTCTCCATATGACAAAAAATTTTAGTGCTATATGATATTTCAATAAAAAAATATATAAATATATTGATTTTAATTTTTTTTAAGATTAATATGAAACTCTTTAATTAAGAAAAACATTATATACTCT